GTCACCAGCAGTCAAAAAACGTTTAAATCAACTAACAAGAAGAGTAAAATGGAAACTGGATGATCTAAGATAAAATTCCTACAGAGCATACGTATCAAAAATAAATCCAAATAGCTCAAGTCTTTGGATAGCTACCAAAAGAATCACTAAACAGCGTGAAACAATTCCCCCTTTAAAAAACGGATTAGCTAAGTACGAAACTAACATTGAAAAATGTGAAATCTTTGCCCAACATTTTGAAAGCTGTTTTACAACTGATGAAAACCATACAAACCAAAATGAAGTAGTAAACCTTGAACAAAGAAACATAGAAAATCAACCAATAGTCAATCCCATTAGCCCATGTACCCCTAAAGAAATACAGATAATAATAAATAAACTAGCTAATAAAAAAAGCCCGGGACATGATCTAATAACAAACAAAATACTCTAAAATCTCACGTCAAAATCTTTATCATACATAGCTAGCCTTATGAACTCCTTCATGAGACTATGCTATTTTCCCGACTCATGGAAAATTGCAATCATTATCCCTATACATAAACCAGGAAAACAAAATAGTTCACCCAAAAGTTACAGACCCATAAGTCTACTCCCAACTTTCTCAAAACTTCTTGAAAGAATTCTACTGCACAGAATTAAACCGTTCCTAAAAATTATACCACTACATCAATTTGGTTTCAAACCATTTCATTCGACAACCCATCAGCTACAATGGATCTTTGAAATCATAGTAAACGGTTACAAAAATAAAAAATTTACTACGACAGCCTTTTTAGACATATCACAGGCCTTCGATAAGGTTTGGCACCATGGACTTATTTTAAAAATAAAATCCCTAAACCGACCTTTATACCTTAACAATACACTCTTGTCATTTATAGCAAATCGCAAATTTCATGTCAGAATAGGAGCAGATATATCACAAATACATAATGTAAAGGCTGGAGTTCCACAGGGATCTGTGCTAGGACCATCTCTATTCAATATCTACTGTCATGTTATACCAACACCGCAACACTGTCATCTAGCAATGTTCGCAGATGACACTGCAATAATAACGTAAAACCAAACACTTGAATCTTCAATAAGAGACCTACAAAGCTCTCTAGATGAACTATCCCTCTGGTTCTCAAAATGGAAACTAACACTAAACCCAACCAAAAGCGAAGCAAAAATATTTACACT